TTGGGGAGAGGAGGAATCGCAGACCTCACCCTGGAGCCGGAGTCCCCTACCACAGGCCTGAAATGACAAAAACTATACGAGGCAGAGATTTATTTGGGCAATCTCTTTTTTTCTCCTTAAATAGTCACAGGTCACAAAACTGCCTCTAGGCATTAAACCCAGGATTAAGACATCAATTAACTGAGGTCTGAATGCGGCACTGATTAAAATAGTAGCAAGACAGGATGAAGGATTTCCCAGGTCAGTCTCTACGCATCAAGGTGCCAGGTTTTTTTTTTTTTTTGAATAAAATCCATTAACAGGGCCAGGAATCCTCTCTCTCCCAAAGACAGAATGCACAGAGAATGGACCTGCGGGAGCCAGGCGGGCAGGAGTTAAACACCAAAGGACTCCCAGGCTCTGCTCCCAACCACTCCTCCACACTGGAGACCGAGTGGTCAAACGAAGAGACTCACACGGTACCGGGGATGGAAGAGAGAGGGGCTGGCTGGAGCTCTGTGTCCTCAGAGGCTCCTCCAACAAGCCAGAGCCAAGCTCAGCCCCTGGAGGAGTGGGCGGGGCCAGGCATGTGGGAGGAAGTCCCCTCCACACGGGGCCACGCCCGACTGTGCCGTGATGGCGCTGGTAGAACAGGTACTGGGACTCCTTGGGCTTGGGCGTCAGTGCAAACAGAGCCTGGCGTCTCTGCTCTAGTCCTGTGAGTGCTTCCTTTATTTGGGTCGGATTCCGATCCAAGGCCACACACTGGCACGTCAACACCTGAAGGAATGTTTGTCTACAATCTGATGAAACTTGACCCACTTCATTCCCCCTCAATGAAGGCAAGAGAGGAACTGAGGTATTTAGCCTCTAGCGAGCAGGAGGCTCAAGGGTTTGAGTCCAGTGTGGGCCACATAGTGATACCCAGTCTCAAACACAAAACTAAAGATTACCTAAGGTACAGAACTATGAGCTTCACAGCGTCCTGTTCTAACTCCCTATGCTGCCTGGTGTTTTGTTTTGTTTTGTTTTGTCAGCTTGACACACAGCCAGACATACCTGGGTAGAGGGAATTTTAATTTAGAAATGCCTCCGTAAGACCGACTGGTAGGCAAGCCCGTGGGGTGTTGTTTTGACTGATGATTGATGAGGAACGGCCCAGCCCACTGTGGGTAAAGCATCCCCTAAGCAGGTGACCCAGGAATGCATCAGAAAGCAAACTGAGCAGACCTTGGGGAGCAAACCAGGAAGCAGCACCCCTGCAAGGTATCTTCTTCAGTTCCTACCTCCAGGGTCCTGCCCTGACGTCCCTCAGTGATGGGCTGTGATATAGAAGTGTCGGTCACATAAACCCTCTCCTCCCCGAGTCCCTTTTGGTCATGTGTGCTATCACAGCAACAGACAGCAGACTCTCACAGACAGACAGATCGCGCCCTGACAGCAGACTCTCACAGACAGATCACGCCCTGAATAGGGGCGACTGCCTCTAAGACTGAGAAGACAGAGAAAGGAAGGGTGTCTTGTCTGCCCCAGGAGAAATCCAGCTCACGGTAACTAGATGCTCCCCCCACCCACCCCCCCGAGTGCTGGGACTTCTCTGGAGTCACCTGCTACAGCCAGAACTGAGATAAGGAACAGTCAGACCACAAGCTGACCCAAACTGCTTAGCTGTACAGGTTTTTTTAGTTCTGCCCAGCCCCACCCCAACCCCCAAAACCCTCATACGATGCCCACCAATGGCCGAGACCCTTGTTCCCACCTCCAGCCAGTGACAATTCTCCTTTCCGCCCGGTCTCTAAGGCTAGTGAGCAGATCTAATTTGTTGGGCACAGTGATGCTCCCCATCCCGTCCCCCACTTTCTGGTGTGCAGGAACCGAGTTCTCCCTCTGCGTTGGGGATCTCCAGTCCTTCCATGAAGAAAGGGTCTGTGAAGAGTGTCAGGACCAGGAATCTAGGGCATCGTCTACACGCATTTTTAAATTTGGGAGATAGTCCAGTGAACCTCTGTCCTGAAGGACTCCCCCCCTGCAGTTTGGCAGTTTGACTCCTGTGAAGGCAGTAGGCAGAAGAGCAGAAATGTTACCTACAGCCCGCATTTTAATGCATTCAGGCAGCTTTTCACTGTGTGTAATTAACACCTCTAAAACTGGCATATGACTCAAATGAACACGGTTCTCGCTTAAGACCTAAGGAGATGCTCAGCAGCCGTGGATACCCTCGCTGTTCCGCGAGTTCTTAGCTGCAGCCCCTGGCACAGAGCGATGAGAGGGAGGAAGGCATCTCCTTTTATTTCCTACCCTACCTCCAGATCAATTTCATCCTCTACAAAACAGCAGAGCGGAAGCCCAGCCTGAATTACGGCAGTGGCATGCCTGCTCTTAGTAAGATTCAACTTCTGACCTATGCGTTCCAGCCGCGGCACTGGACAAAAGGAAAGAATTGTGCAGTTATGATCTCGTGTTTGTGGGCAGAGTACAATTATGGAAGAATTTACAGGAAATCAAAAGAAAGGCGCCGCTTGAGAGGATGGAAAACAATAAAACGGTCACACAAAGGAAATGAATGCCACCCAAAAACAAAACATAAAACCCGAGAGCACAGGCTCCCCGCGCCAGGAGACCTCGCAGTCGGACTGGTCCTAGAAAAGCCCCCAACGCCCCAAATGCTAATCTGGGCCTGGGGTATTGTGTGGGTGCCAGGGTTGCTCTCCTACACAGCCCCTGCTCTCTGGTCCTGCTGTGCTTAACCCAAGACTCAATCCAAGGGTTCCAGGCAGCCGGCCTTCGGGGGGGAGGGGGGTTAGAAGGGGGGGGAGCAGGCACTCAGGCAGGCCCCAGACTCCAGGGCACTTAGCTGAGCGACAAGAGGCTGTTGTCAGACTGTGGAGCCAACAGCCTGGGCTCATGACTTTTCTCTGGGTGAGTCACTAACTCTCGGGGCCTCAGTTTCTTCACCTGTAGGATGGGAATAACTAGAGTAGCAGCAACCTCTTGAAATTGTGCCAAGCCCAGTGTTTATCAGCACAGGCCTTACACGGGGAGGCTCGGCAGGGGCCGGTGTTGGTAAGGCATGCCAGCTGGACTCCTGTCCCATGCAGTCACCTCGTCAACTTTACAGATGTAGAAACGGGGACTGGCAAATCCTACTCTCACCATAAGGGGGGGGCGGCGGATATTACCACGGTCTCTCAACTGAAGCTCTGCAGACAGAAATGTTCAGTGGTCCTGAAAAGAGCCTGAGACTAGTTCTACACCTGAGCTGACAGTCTCCCTTCCCCTGGGCAGATTCCATCCATAGGGCCGAGCGGGAGAGAGCAGGCAGCCAGAGCTTTCATGACCTGGGAGCAGCTGGGTGTGCTGGCGTGTACCTACAGTTCCAGCACTGGGGCAGGTGGATCTTAAGTCTGAGGTCAGCCTGAGGGATAAGGTAACACTCTGCCCAGACAAGTAAGCAAAACCCAGGGGCTCCCAAAAGCGTGACACCAAATATTCTTTAATATCACAGAAAGCCCACCTGCTTCAGAGATGAAGGACCCACTGCTGCTGCTGCACCCAGAGCCCTGCCCTGGGCTCCGGCAAGGAGGGCAGTAACTGTGGCTATGATGGATCTGCCAAGATCAACTGTGTCACTGCAGAGACTGGGCCCTGTGCTATTAAAACACACCCCCGGGGCGGCAAGGACAATGTGACATTTCTGAAATTGTTCTACTACCATCAAATGCCAAATAAGTCCTTTTTGCTGCTCGCTCTAATAAAGCTGTGGCGAGATATTCTTATGAGCACAGACTCCACCTTGGAGCCGCGCAAATGTCACTGGAATTAGAGTGAGCCTGCTCTAACGTGACGAAATAATGGCTCATCCCCCGGGGGGGATGCTGGAGCTCACGAGCCAGCTGTGGGTCCCCAATGCACTCCCCACGGTCAGTGACCTAGGGGGGTCACAGTGAGGCAGAGGGTGGACACACTCCCCACGGTCAGTGACCTGGGGGGAGGTCACAGTGAGGTGGGCACAGGCCGATTCCAAGGACTCGGGATTTGTTCTGCTGCGTGAGTGAGCTACAGAGACAGACACGGGTTTCTTGAAACAAACAAGAAGAGACGCCACGAGCCTGAAGGACGGTCTCCTTCCTCGCTGAGTATGTGGCTGTGACAGGCACTGGGCCAGGGTTACCGCCGACACCTGTCAGCAGCTGTCGGGCCTCTACCCGTCTCCCATGGGCGCCTGCCTCAGACTCAGCTCACCCGAGATCGGTCTCAGATCTGTTGCTCTCAGTGACGTCGCCCTGCGGCCTCCGTGACCACGCGTGGCAACTGGTTCCCACTCCTGCCTCTAGCCAAATCTAAATGGCTTTTGGGAATACAAACCTGACCAACACTCTCCTAAGTCCTTCAAGTTCCCTGAGCTTCCGTCTCCTCTCTGGAGACGACGTCCCTCAGTTCACTCAGAGGCCACTTCCCTGGCTTTGCATGACCACACAAGGCCACCATCCGTTTCCCCTTGAACAAACGGTTCCCTAGCCCTCAATTCCCGACCCCCAGTTCATTCACCGTGCACCCCCCTCACCTCCATTGTGTTTGGGACACGGCATCCCCACAGACCTCCCAGGGAGGCGGGAAACGCCACCACGGGCTGGGGGTTGGAAGTCAGGCGCCTTCCACACCCCCTCTAGGAAAGCCTGCCTTTACTCTCCCAATTTCACAGCGAGTGCAGCCACCTAACGATAAATGCTGCTCTCCTGCCACCGGAGAGCAGCTCGGTGGCCTGGGAAGAAAATCGATGTGACACGCAGAAGCCACTCCCGAGCCTCAGAAGGTTCACCCCGAAGCCACCCCACAACCCAGCTGTGCTGCATGCAAGAGCTGCTATGGGGGAGCCGCAGGCAGGAAGAGCGTGGATTAACAGGGCTGCACATGCACGTGCCGAGACTGGTTCTCTCAGTGGGGTGGTCAAGAGAACTGTCTCCATCCTCCACCAGCCGAGCACAGCACAGAGCCCCGGGAGCCACGGGCCCAGCACTCACCATTCCACGATCTCTGGGTGAAGAATCGTGTTGTTGACATTGAACCTATAAAGAGAAAACACACCAAGGGCATTAGCTGGATGGCCTAGCAGATCCCAGCGGTAAGTACCTCGCTCAACACAAACACACCTGGAGGAAGATGCTGTTCACCTCCTGGGGGCCTGGAGGCCTGGGCTGCCAAAGCACGGTCAGTGGAGACCAAGAATTTTGACTATAAACCACTCCCTCTTCCCTGCTAGGCAGACCCTTTATCAAGTTCATTAACACACACATCAATGCGAGCATCAGAAATGGGGAACAGAAAGAATATTGGGGGGAGGAAACTGAACTTTTCACTAATTTTATAAAAAAAACCACACACACACACACACAATCATAAAAAAACTACACATCTTTTTTATTAAAAAAAATCATTGCATGTGCATGAATGAGCATCTTGCCTGCATGTATGTCTGTGTCCCATGTCGTGGAGGTCAGAGAGAATTCCGGGACTGAAGTCACAGACAGCTGTGGACCACCATGTGGGTGCTGGGAGTTGAAACCAGCTCCTCTGGAAGAGCAGCTCTCCAGTCCCTTGAAGTTCAACGGTCTCTAAGACACACTACAGTCAGACCGCCAAACGGCTTATGCTGGTCCTGAACTGACCGCGGCAGGACTCAGGACTTTTCAGTTTCCTGACTGGGATGTGATGAGGAGGACCTACGACTGGGTCGTTCAGCTTCCAGTTTCTAATCTTACAAAAGGCTGATGGGATACAGCACAGCTGTCAATCAAGGAGCCTCCGCATCTTTCGAGCACAACGAGAATCTCGCATGATCCCCAGTATGTCCTGATCAGCGGCCAATTCCGCACCAGACACTAAGACAACCGGAAGGCGTCGGGATAACATTCAAAGAATTGAAAGGAAAAAAAAGAACAAAAGAATGTCAGCAAAGATATGCTTCAGAAACGAAGGAGAAGGGTCTCACTGTAACCTGTGGCCCTGACTATATGAGAAGCACCGTCAGGTTCCATCACGTGTGGAATGCGTGTCAGTTCGTATATCCAGATGGGTAAGGCCCGCTGCCAGCCCGATTGTCTCAGACAGCCATACAACTCCTTCACCACCTTCTGTTAAACTGGTGTCAGGAACTGTGAGCCACAGACAATCTTTGTGGATCTGAAGCCCGCAGGAACTTATGAGATCCAAAATGACCCAAAGGACGCTGCCAACAACTATGTCCACGGCTATGACATTGCTGGCAAGCTCACCAAGCCAGCTTGGACTCGGGGCTTCCTGGGTTTGCACAGCTTTGGAAAGGACTCCGGTTCTAACCTCACTTCTGTGGCAAGACGTCTGAACTGGAGTTCTCCAAGTGTTCACAATCTATAGCTTTAACTTGGTCCTCAAACCACCCACCCTGAGCGCTCAGGCTGTGGCTTCATGGAGGACAAGGAGGCTGTACGGCATCAAACACCCAACCGGTGCCAACCTCAGGCACCTCATCACTCAAACTGCCTCCTCCATCATAGCCGTGCCACTCAAAGCCCACTCCCCCCACCCCCGCCATGAACCCAACAGAGTTCCACACCAACTATAGCCCTACCTGTGTACCTACTTCCCCTTGGCCGACTGTACTGCAGCTGTCACTGCAGAGGCTCCTGTTGGTAGCAGAGATCAACAAAAGAGCTGCTTTGGGGTTGCCGATCGGATGGTAACACGTGACCCCCAGCACAGCCAAGTTCAAGCCCTGCTGTCTCCTGCACTGTGGAAATGTGCTACCCAAGGGTGGGAATGCCGTCACTGTTGCCCTCAAGACCAAGAATAACAGCCATGGAGACTTCGGGGGCTTCAAGGTTGGTACCAACCACTTGGCGGTGGAAGAGAACCAACTCTTGCAGGCTCTCCTCAGACCCCCACATGCACGCACACAAGCGAATAAACGCTTAAAAAGTGGATTTTTGTTTTGTTGTTTGTGTTTTAAAGGCAGCGGTTGGTGCCAGAGAGATGGTTGGTGGGTAAGAGTGTACATCACTCTTCCAGAAGAAAGGAGTTCAATTCCCAGAAATCATTTTAGGTGGCTCCTGTAACTCCAGTTCCAGGGGATCTAATACCCTCTTCTGGCCTCTGCAAGCACTGAACACAAATGTGCACATTCACAGATATGAATAAAAATAAACCTTTAGGAGGGGTCACAGGTAAAGGTGACCATGCAGGCAAATATGGAGACAGCATAAACGTAGCTTTTGCTTGTGATGTCTTTAAAAATTATCAACAGACACATGCATGCACACACATGTGACTATGCACACACACACACACACACACACACACACACACACACACAACCCCTCCACACATAATGACAAGAGAAAAAAGTCTGAGAAACGGGATGACTCAATTTGTCACCAAGTGTCATGTGACCAGAGACAGCTGCTGAGTGAGGGGCCTGGAGAAATGACCCTGACTGAGGGGAGCACGGGGCTGTCTTCAGGTGATCCAAATGTCCCCACACTGATAATGACGGTGGTCATTCTACTCGGTGTGCACGAGTCACAACCCTGGTCACAAGAACCAGCCGAGGACCCACGGGTAAGCCTCCGCCTTGTGGAGTCCATGACCTCCCCCACGGAGGCACAGGCAGAGCTGTGAGTCCCTGACTTCACACAGCCCAGGGACGCTCCGTGGCCTCGTTACTGGAATCAGAACCAATCTAACGCCATGGCTGCAAGGAATAGCGTTACCCTGACACCAAGCAGCGGGGATGGGCAAGATAAGGTACGAGCAGCCTTAGGGGACTCATCTAGGAAGCTTCGGAGATACTGACGTACGAGCAGGGCTTCTTGGTTCTAAACCAACTTGAACACTTTAGAATCAAAGCCATGGAGGCCAGGTGTGGGGGGTGGCGCCTTTAACCCCAGCACAGTGGTCACGAACACTGGCTGCTCTTACAGAGGACCTGGGTTCAGTTCCCAGCTCCTAGCAGCACACAACCATTTGTATTTCCAAGGATCCAGTGCCCTCTTCCGGCCTCTAAGGGTACTGGCTGCGTGTGGTGAACACACACACAGGGAGGCAAACATTCCCGCACATAAACAAAAGAATCAAAGTGGGATACCCAAGAGATTGTAGACAGCTTAGAACGCAGAATGGAGCAACACGTCACGTAAATCAAGAGAACACAGACGTCCCTCCCATCTCACATCTGTCACCTTAGGGAAAGCGCTGGGCTAGCTACTCAACGGCCTGCTGTGTGTCATTTCACACGATGCATATAGCCAGGTGCACACAGACACGGCTGCACACACACACACACACACGCACACACACGCGCACGCACACACACACACACGCACGCGCGCACGCACATGCACACACAGAGACATCTGTGAGCTTAGAAGACTGGACAGAAGACATATACAGACGTGCACATACAGAGGGACAGAGAGGTCACCTGTGTCCTAGGAAGGACACATTCCTAGATCCCTAGCAGATGCCTGACAATATAGATAGTACCGCACATTAGACGTATCATGGTTCCCTTCCCCGAGCATGAATAGCTATGGTAAAATTTAACTTATAAATTAGGCACAGTAGGAGGCTAGTAATAAGTAATAACAAAATAGAACAATTACCACATACTATAACAAGATTGCCAGCATCAATAAAACTTGTGCTTCGGAAAACTGATAATAAGTAAAACAGAGGCTAGCTGAACACAAATACTGGCTGATTTGATAAGAGACAGTTACTAGGAGACTCTCGGGTGAGTGTCACACGTGCCACGGATATCTGGTATCTCCCGGGTAAATGATGCAAGATGGGATCCCAGAACAACACAAATTCATGAACTGGCCAAGCACAGCAATGCAAGCAACCCCAGCCATGCAGGGAAGAGGACTACGAATCTGAGGCTAGCCTGGGCTACGTAGTGAGAGATCCCCGTCTCAAAACAGCAAGACCGTGAGTGAGGGCTGAGTGAGGGTCAATAGCGGGGTGCGTGCCTTGGGGTGCCTGGCCTGTGCACGGCATTCCCATTCAGTGTCCCCTAACGCCCCTCTCTCACTCTGTCACCCCACAACACAGTCTTCAGGGGCTCCTCAATGGGTGTCCTATCCTGAAGGCCACGAGCGCCAACGTGGGGGTCCCTATGAATTAAATGCTTCCAGAATTTTCCATGTAGCGTTTTCAGATTGTGGTCAACTGTGAGAGAGACCGCAGAAACCAAAACTACAGACAAAGTAGGAATGATTCCACACGCACAGACACTAGGCAGACATTCGCAGCACATACACTTAGGAGACACGGGGCCATCTAGACACGCGCGCACACACACCCACACCCACACACACACACTCTCTCTCTCTGACAGCCAGACACACACAGGCAGGAAGACCCTCAACCACATAAACAAGGACACGCAGACACAAATGGCACACACAGACCAAGGCATGTACACACAGACACACAGAATTCCAGACAAGCACACTCAGACACACAGGAGAGTGCCAGAGTCTGTGTGGACAGATTTAACTCTAAGTGTGGCCTCAGTCAGTGCTAGCAACACTTTCACTAATGAGAATATGTTCACTATGCAAAAAAAAACAAAAAACAAAAAACCCCAAGCCACCACGCCAGTGAGGGTTGAGAAGGTGCCCTTCAAGAGGACAACATAAGGGTGAGCAGGGTGGGCCAGGCCCAAGCCAGGCCTCTATCCCTCGCCACTCTAGAATTTCTAACACACTGAAGGGAGCACCACTCTCCCCCGCCCCACCCTTCTAGGGGGCAGTGGGACAGGTTCTCCCTTCACTGAGATCTCCATAGGTCATAATTTGAAACCCAATCCTAAGTATTAACTTGACGTGCAAGTTAACAGTTACCCAAAAGTCATGGCCCCCAAACCACAAACTGGCATTTTGCTGCAAATCGTCAAGTTTTAATAATGTCCCTCTAACTTCCTGGGTTTTAAAATTCACATCGTTGAATATTAATGCCCTTGCATTAACAAGTCCCAAATTCAGCATTTCATATTTAACTGCTTATTTAAATGGAATTAATTTGTAACCAATTGTCTTCAAATATGCAAGGCAATTTAACTAAATGCCAAAAGATAAGAAATATGCTTATTCTCAATAGCCAGCTGATGTAAAATAAGGACCATATTTCTCTCTCAGATGATGGCATTAAATGGCGAACTCTGCAATTGGTTGTCTCCACCCAGAACTCATGGGCACAGGGTCTGCCTGTCTGGAAGGGGGATGGTCTCGTGCCAGGGAAGCATCCCCGTTACACGTCTTGACTGATGGATGGGTGGGTGGCCCTCAGCTCAGGCCACGTGTACACTCCATGGGACGTTCATGGTCAGTTTCCCTGTCTCAGGAAACTGCCCTAAAATCTACCTCCCCAGACTCTGATCCATGACATCTGGCTTGGTCATAGGCTGCAGGAGCTGAGTGCTCCAGGGGCCCTGGATGCCCGGAGCTCACAAGAAGTCATCTCAAGTCCTGTTCACTGCAGGTCTGTCCCCTCTATCTCTGCCTCTCCCAGCTCCAACCTACAAACCAGCCCTTGAACCCCCAGCAGGGCCTCGCGATGAGTCCCCGCCCCCTGCTCCTGTCCACCATATGGCTACCCGAGTTCATGGAGAGGGCTTTTTCTAAATGCTCCCTGGAACTTGTCTCTCATCCAACAGCAACCCCGCCCCCATACATGGCACCATGGGCGGACCCCTCACCCAACACCAAGACCACAGGACTAAACATGGCACCATGAGTTAGGGAGACCCCTCACTCAACACCAAGACCACAAGGTAACGAGAAGCCACAGCCTCTTGTAAGCAGGACTTGTGCCTCTAGCAAAGCCTCTGTGACCTCTGACATGCCTGCCGCCCTCTTCACCTCCACCGCCCTCTTCCCTCTGCTTATCCACCATCCCCACGGCTCTCAGAGCAGGTGCACAACCTTCTGTCAGCCCCAGGAGGCTTGCCTCCCGTCCTGGGTAGCTGAGGGAGGCCTGAGGCCACACACATGGAAGTGCACCCCAGGTAGGCAGCCCCAAGAAGCCACACTTTGAAGGAAAGTCACAAACCAACTCCCTGGCTGGGTGACAGCTCAGAGGGTCTGGGACTCCCAAGGTCACTGCCACCCCTCCTTCATGCAGGTCAAGGGGAAAGAGCAGCCTGGGAGGCACGTCAGGACAGACAGAGAGAGCCAAGCCTGAGCATCCATCTAGGTAGAAGGTCAAACAGAGAGCCGAGATGAGACATCTCAAGGGGTCAAAAGCAAACTCCCCAGGAATGTGGGGCTGCAGGTAGGCAGCTGAGAGGTGACAGGGGACAGAGCAGCTGCACACTGGAAACCAGGGTGACGGCAAGATTCATCTTGCTTGGGAAGCCGGCTATTGTTATCCAGCAAACAGCCGGGACGCTCGGCAGGCAGGTAAATGCAACGGGGGCCGTCGAGGACACGGTCTCTCCCTAGCCTGGCACATAACTAGTAGGTGACAGAACCGAGGTGCCAGCCACCTGACTGGTAAGAGGCAGGGGACTGGGTTACAGCCAGAGCCTAGGAACACAGGCAGGACTTTTAACGGGGAGGACCTAGGGGCACTTGAACCAAGGGCCAGGACCCTAAGTCAGTGCCCGTGGCACTTAGGACACCTGGAAACGGCTCTCGTCCCAGCATAAGAACACCTGAAAATCACATAAAGGGTGACGGAGTGAGCGGTAAGGCCCACAGGAAAGGAGTACAAGGGACAAGCCTACTTTGGACCAAAGAGGGGACGGGATTCGGGGACCATATACAGGCCAGACGCTCCAAAGCAGAGGTCAGCGGTCAGACTCTGGACAGCAGCTCATCACGTGGGGTGCCGAGACCAAGCCAGCCCATACACAGCACGGAGAGCTGTTGCGGGGCCAGCTGCCGTGTGGCCCGGGGAACACCCCTGGCAGCCCCCACCATACAATGCATCCCATGAGGGGGTAAGGCAGTCCCTAGCTCTCAGGAACAGGTCTCCACGCTGGACATGGCGGTGCACACCCACAGCAGGAGACTTGTGAGTTCCAGGCCAGCCTAAGCAGAGCAAGATCTTGTCTCCAGAACAAAACCAGACAGACAAGCCTCAAGATGTCCGTGGGGTGGAGGCTTGCAGGCCTGGGGTTCTGAAAAGGACCCAAGAGACTCAGGGGAGGGGCACGGAGCAGACGCTGGGGTCTACCGAGTGGAGAGCCAGACTGGAGTTTGCAGCAGGGAATCCTCCCAGTGAGACAGGATTAAGCCTTGGGGGCCGCCGTGACTGTGATGGCCGTGTGGGTCCCACCTGTCGTTCTCGGCGAAGCCTCCCAGTGCAGCAGATGGGCTCCAGCTTCACCACAAGACTTCCCCAGTCACTTAATCCACCATTAATCCACCAGGCCCTGGCCTGGGAGAAACCCAGCATCCTCTGGGGCAGGGTCCAGATGCCACAGTCCAGAGCCAAACAGGAATCAGGCGGTAGACCATGCTGGGTCCGCTTGGCTACCACACAGTTGGGGAGACAAAGCTCACAGCTTTGAGCTACCACGCGGGCTCTGGCCCCCAGCAGCGTCCTTTGGTCCCCACCACGCAAGCAGTTCTGTGTTACACGTGGCGGCCAAAGTCACAGTGAGAGCCAGCCAGCGGGAGCCAGCCACCCACTTGAAGCACTGGGCGCGTCCCGCGTGGCTGAGACCCAGACAGAGGCTGCGGATGGGGAGAAGGGCGAGCAGGGTGCTGGGGAAACAGTGGCATGGCAGTTGGCATTTCAGCAAGCTGGGCCGGTGACCACCAGGCCACTTAGGGCAAATCCCCAAGAGGAGACGGCAGGGCCCCCGCCCCACAGCGCTCAAGGGTGGAGAAGTGATGCATATTCATGAGTTCATAATCCCTTCTAATCACCCCTCCATCGCGGGCTGGCGCGCTCACGCACACAGAGTCCCTCCCGTGGTTGAGACTCATACATAATCATCAGGAGCCTCTTCTGGTACCACCTCAGTTCACAAATGGACGACAGAGGACAGAGTAGCTGCAGAGAACCTGGGCTTGGGGACGCGGCGGCGGCGGCTCAGGCGCAGGAGCGCGGCTCAGGGCTGCTTGCTGCCTTAAGGGCTCCACTAATAGCAGCAGCAGCCCAGATCTCCTAGGTTAATAACAGCAGCTGCCCAGCCACTCCAGCCCAGATCTCCTAGGACCCGGACGGACCTGGCGACACACGTGCTACCAGCAGGCAGCGCTCTCTGGGGACACTGGTGAGGGGTGACAGGAGACAGACCTATTACCCTCCTGCCCAGAGAAGGAGCCAATTCCCCGAGTAGGGATTAGGGGGTTAGGGCCAGAGCTTAACTGGGGAGTGAGTAAAAGATTAGGGCAGTGGGAGACACTGGGAGTTGCTGAGAACCAGGATTGATACAAAAAAAAAAAAACCAAACAAACAGAAAAAAACAAAACAAAAACCAAGAAGGCTGAGAGCCACGGCATAGACCGCTTGTAGGCCAGCCAAGGCTGTGGGTGTGGGCGATCTGTCTTAAAGGGTAAACAAGCTTTGCCAGCAAGCCTGGCAACCTCAGTTCGGCTCCCAGGATCCACATGTGGAAGGAAAGAACCAGCCCCACCAGCCGCCCCCTGACCTCCACACACATCATGGCACACACACTCACCCCCATATACGCACGTAACCAATCAATCAACAGTGTAAAAAAAACAACAAAAACAAAAGAGAGAAAACAGTCACTCTCGCCACTCAGTGCCCAGGGCTCCCAGGGCTCTTCCAAGATGGAGTCAAACGAGGAGGGGTGTTTTGTGTTTTCCTTAAGGTAAACGACGGGATGCATCTCCTCCAGACCCTCGATCAAGTCCGTTTCCCGTACCCTCCCCTGGCATGTGGCCAGCCTGGGAAAGACCAGGTGACAAAGGCAGGCAGGAGAAGGTGGAGGAGGGACTCACTTGCTGATGCCCTCGAAGGAGGCCTCTCTGCAGACGCTGCCGCTGTCAGTGTTGACTCCACGCTGTGGGGAGGAAAAGGCGGTGAGAACAGCTGTGTCACACAGGGACCGCGAGGCAGCCCCAAGGCCCGCCTGCGGGCGTCTGCCTCTTCTAGCCGGACTCCGACAGAAGAGTACAGGGGGCTACCACAGCCCAGCATGTCCAGCCCCTCTAGCCTTCCCCTGACAAACGGGCTCCGTGGCAGGGTAACTCTGAGCTGGATGTCAAGATGGGACTTCTCCGCCTAGCGCAATGTGAAAAGCAGAGATCCAGCAACAATGGTGTACGTGCTTGTAGGTCTAGCAGGAGGGTTGGGGCACTGAGCAGGGCGGATCACCAGGTCAAAGCTTGCCTGTGCTATACAGACACTCTGTCTCAAAAACAGAAACAGGAACCAACAAAAAAAGAAGGAAGAGAATCAGAGGAAGAAGAGGCACCATAGATCCACAGCATCCGGGTACACAGCAAGGGGTGGAGTGGATGAGCCAGAGCACACTGCTCACACCGCTCACACCTCGCTCGCACCCCGCTCACACACCACTCACACACTGCTCACACACCGCTCACACACTGCTCACACCGCTCGCACCCCGCTCACACACCGCTCACACACCGCTCACATACCGCTCACACACCGCTCACACACTGCTCACACACCGCTCACACACTGCTCACATACCGCTCACACACTGCTCACACACTGCTCACACCGCTCACACACCGCTCACACACTGCTCACACCGCTCACACACCACTCACACACCGCTCACATACCGCTCACACACCGCTCGCACCCCGCTCACACCCCGCTCACACACCACTCACACCGCTCACACACCGCTCATACCGCTCACACACCGCTCACACACTGCTCACACACCGCTCACACACCGCTCACACACTGCTCACATACCGCTCGCACACCGCTCATACCGCTCACACACCGCTCACACACTGCTCACACACCGCTCACACACCGCTCACACCGCTCACACACCGCTCACACACTGCTCACACCGCTCGCACCCCGCTCACACACCGCTCACACACCGCTCACACACTGCTCACACACCGCTCACACACTGCTCACATACCGCCACACACTGCTCACACACTGCTCACACCGCTCACACACCGCTCACACACTGCTCACACCGCTCACACACCACTCACACACCGCTCACATACCGCTCACACACCGCTCACATACCGCTCACACACCGCTCACACACTGCTCACACACCGCTCACACACTGCTCACATACCGCTCACACACTGCTCACACACTGCTCACACCGCTCACACACCGCTCACACACTGCTCACACCGCTCACACACCACTCACACACCGCTCACATACCGCTCACACACCGCTCGCACCCCGCTCACACCCCGCTCACACACCACTCACACCGCTCGCACACCGCTCATACCGCTCACACACCGCTCACACACTGCTCACACACCGCTCACACACCGCTCACACACTGCTCACATACCGCTCGCACACCGCTCATACCGCTCACACACCGCTCACACACTGCTCACACACCGCTCACACACCGCTCACACCGCTCACACACCGCTCACACACTGCTCACACCGCTCGCACCCCGCTCACACACCGCTCACACACCGCTCACATACCGCTCACACACTGCTCACACACCGCTCACACACTGCTCACATACCGCTCACACACCGCTCACACACTGCTCACACACTGCTCACACACCGCTCACACACTGCTCATACCGCTCACACACCGCTCACACACTGCTCATACCGCTCACACCCCGCTCACACACTGCTCACACTGCTCCCACACTGCTCACACACCGCTCACACCGCTCACACCCCGCTCACACACCGCTCACACACTGCTCACATACCACTCGCACACCGCTCATACCGCTCACACACCGCTCACACACTGCTCACACCGCTCACACACCGCTCACATACCACTCACACACCGCTCGCACCCCGCTCACACCCCGCTCACACACCACTCACACCGCTCACACACTGCTCACATACCGCTCGCACACCGCTCATACCGCTCACACACCGCTCACACACTGCTCACACACTGCTCACACCGCTCACACACCGCTCACACACCGCTCACACACTGCTCACACCGCTCGCACCCCGCTCGCACCCCGCTCGCACCCCGCTCACACACCACTCACACCGCTCACACACTGCTCACATACCGCTCACACACCGCTCATACCACTCACACACCGCTCACACACTGCTCACACACCGCTCACACACTGCTCACACCGCTCACACACTGCTCACACACCGCTCACACACCGCTCACATACCGCTCACACACCGCTCACACACTGCTCATACCGCTCACACCCCGCTCACACACCGCTCACACACCGCTCACACACCGCTCACATACCGCTCACACACCGCTCACACACTGCTCATACCGCTCACACCCCGCTCACACACTGCTCATACCGCTCACACCCCGCTCACACACCGCTCACACACTGCTCACATACCGCTCACACACCGCTCACACACTGCTCATACCGCTCACACCCCGCTCACACACTGCTCACACTGCTCCCACACTGCTCCCACACCGCTCACACCACTCACACCCCGCTCACACACTGCTCACATACCGCTCACACACCGCTCACACACTGCTCATACCGCTCACACCCCGCTCACACACTGCTCACACTGCTCCCACACTGCTCACACACCGCTCACACCACTCACACCCGCTCACACACTGCTCACATACCGCTCACACACCGCTCACACACTGCTCATACCGCTCACACCCCGCTCACACACTGCTCACACTGCTCCCACACTGCTCCCACACTGCTCACACCCCGCTCCCACACCACTCACACCGCTCACACACTGCTCACACCCCGCTCACACACTGCTTACACCGCTCCCACCCCGCTCCCACACCACTCACACCGCTCACACACCGCTCACACACTGCTCACACCGCTCCCACACTGCTCACACACCGCTCACACCGCTCACACACTGCTCACACCCCACTCACACCGCTCACACCCCGCTGACACCACTCACACCGCTCACTCCCCGCTCACACCACTCAAACACTGCTCACACACCGCTCACACCGCTCACACACTGCTCACACCCCGCTCACACTGCTCACACACCGCTCACACCGCTCACACACTGCTCACACACTGCTCACACACCGCTCACACCGCTCAGATACACAGGCGCAGGAAGGAGCTGGACAAGACAAGCGAGAACCTGAGACCCCTAAACAAGGTAGTGTTAACACCGTTCACAGGGCACTGTGCTGGCTAGTTTTATGTCAACTTGACACAAGCCAGAGTTGTTTGAGAAGAGGGAACCACAGTTGAGAAAACTCCCTCAGTCAGAGTGGCCTGTAGGCAAAACTGTAGGGCGTGTTCTTGATTATGACTGACGTGGGCAGGTGTTATCCTACGTGGCCTAAGGAAGCAGGCTGAGCAAGCAAGCCATGGGGAGCAAGCCGGCTAGCAGCACCCCTTCACGGCCTCTGCATCGACTCCGCGTCCCTGTCCTGCCTGAGTCCCTAAATTCCCTGATGCTGGACTCAAGGTATGATACGGAATGCACCCTTTCCTCCCCAGGTTGCTCTGGGTCACGGTATTTACCACAGAACAGAAACCCTGACTAAGACAGGCTCTTAGCATTGTGTTAGGTTATTACGTGTAACCTAGAGGTGATTTACTGCGTATGGGAGGGTGTGCACAGGAGGTTAATGTAAGCAAAGAGGCTCCTGCATCTGTGGCGTTGGCATCTCCAGGGGGTCTAGATACCCGGGGGGCAACTATGGCCTCAGCCTCCACCCATCTCCTTTTCCTAAGGGTAAGTGGGCATCCAGTGGGGTTGTGGCCACACGCTGAGACAAAGTAACGGATTCAGCGAGAAGGCAAGCCACCCAGAGAGGGGAGACACTCTCAGCAGACACAGCTTTCTCAAGAATCTCAAGCTGGCCGGGCGGTGGTGGCGCACACCTTTGATCCCAGCACTCGGGAGGCAGAGGCAGGCGGATCTCTGTGAGTTTGAGGCCGGCCTGGTCTACAGAGCTACGCAGAGAAACCCTGACTCGAAAAATAAAAATTAAAAAAATAAATAAATAAAAAGGATTTCAAGCGGATCCCTGTGCAACTGGGATCCCAGATAAAACACACTGGGCCGGCTCTGACCGTAACCACAGCGGCTAGCCTCCATGCTTAGCAGCAGCGAGAGAACAAGTGGGTGGGGGTGGGGGTGTCTCTGTGTAAACCAGTTAACAAAGGAAAAAAGGTCTCTCTGTGTGAGAGCCCTACCATCAAGGTAGACAGATGTACAACAGTGCCCCCCCCCCCGGCCCCGCCTGGATACTGGGAGCCCACCCCTCACCCTGCCCCACCCCAAGTTAGGCACTCCTTAAAGTGCAAGAGTGTGATTTTCAAATTGAATTATCACAGGGGATTCAGGGTTCAAATAAAGAGTGACAATCTACACCTGGAATGCCATGAGTCTAATCTGTACACCGTTACACGCCCCGGTCTGGGTTTAACCCCAGGAATGCTGGAGACACCTTGCCCACTGTGGCCATAAGCCCAGACAGCATATCGCAGGTGGACCTGAGGATGGCATCTTAGACACAGTGGCCATTAGGACTACACAGGTGTTCCTACTTGCCCACAGACGGCCATTTCTTGGTTTCTCTTTTGTGTTTACTTGAGACCAGGTCTTATGTAGCCCAGGCTGGCCTCTAAGTCTAACTCTCCGGCCTCAGCCTCCCAAGCAGACGCGCGCCTCTATGTTAATTCCTTTGATGTATTCCTCCAAGCAGCAGAGGCAGGTCTTTAGCTCCCTACAAACATCTCCTTGGTGCCAAGTATTGTGTGGCTCCCGTACACCAGCCACTTACCAAGGTGAGGAGGGCAGAGGGTTTCCGGGAGGTCAGGACGCTGGCAATCTGAAAGCCAAAAGAAAACCCACTTTAGAGCAGCGTTAAGGGTTGAATCGGAAATGTCTCCGGCAGGCAGGCTTTCCTTCAGGAGGTGGGGCCTGGCTGGCAGAAGCAGGTCTCGGGGTGGCCTCTGAAGGACATTCCTGAGACCCCTGAGTCCTGCTGCCTCTGCTTCCTGGTCCCCTGTGACGGGAGTGCTAGCCACTACATGCTCCTGACATCACAAACTGCATCCAGGGCGGGTTGACACTCTGAACTAAAATAAACCTCCCCCTCCTCAAGTTGCTTCTCTTGGGTTTTCTCTCACGGCATCAAATGACCAATCCAAGCTTCAACAGAGTGGAACGGAGATGCCACACGCTCACCACTTAGTGACGTCAGCACTCATCCACGGAGCAGGCACCACGCCTGTGCCCCTTTGAGATGAGGAAACTAAGGCTCACAGAGAGGAGCAGCTCCAGAAAGCCCAACAGCTATGGGGGAGTACAGAGGGTGTAAGGCTAACCCTAGCACGCTCGTCACGGGACCTGCCTCCAGACACCACACAGATTCCCTGGCTCCAAACAGCCAGACCTGCCCTCCTCAAGGCCAGCAACTGTGTGCAGGTCCCTGCCCTCCTCAAAGACCCATCCCATTGGACACCAGCCCCAACAGCCTCCCATCCATAGGGGAGATGCCTGCCTCCCTCCCTCCTTCCCTCTCTCCCTCCCTCCCTCCCTGCCACTGGCCACCTAGACTAAACACCTCAACTCCACTCTGGTTTCCACGCCCACCCCCTCAGGCCTCTCTCTGCCGCTGCGAGGGCGTGCAGAATGCTTCCTCCTGGGTCCTCTGGGTGAGAGAGAGGACGCAGGCTCACCTGCTTCCTCCTGGGTCCTCTGGGTGAGAGAGAGGACAACACAGACTCACCTGCTTCCTCCTGGGTCCTCTGGGTGAGAGAGAGGACGCAGGCTCACCTGCTTTCTCCTGGGTCCTCTGGGTGAGAGAGAGGACGCAGGCTCACCTGCCCGCATCTCTGCTCACTTTCACTGATGGTTGGATCATCGTCCACCATCTTGGCTACTCCATGGCATCCTACTTGGCTTGGAGCCCCGCCCAGGCCCTGCAAGCAGATCCAGCCACTCCCTTCCCTACCCACCGCCAGCTGACTGCCATTCATGCCCGCCCCGCCCCCAACAAAGCACCCGCCATCCATCAGTTAAAGAACCCTGTACCCCAAAGCGCTGACCACCCTGCTGGGAGCAACCTGGCCCTCTGGCGGGCTGTACACAAGTCATGGTCCTCACCCCTCCGTAAGCTCTCTGACACCGTCAACACAGAAGAGGAAGGTGTGGGCTCTGGAACTGACAGGTTGTGCACTAGCTGAAACACCCGACGCTGCACGTATTTAAGGTGGATAGTTTGATAAGTTTTGACATAAGTATACACACTCTTCCGTACTAAAAGGCTCCCTGAGAAAAGCCGGAACATATTGAAAGCCATGAAAGGGAAGACGCACCTGCCATCCCCAGCGACAGTTCAGCTCTGTGCACAGACACAGAGAGCTGTAATGACATTTGGATCATATGAAATTATAAGCTTCGCTTATTTCCTGTCATTAAAGACTCTTCAAACATGCAATCTTTAGCAGCCACGGCCACTGGGGATGGCAAACGTTCAATAAGTCTTTGATTATGGTCCACGTCAGTCATCTTACACACATCACCTCATTTAACCACCCATTAAAGCGCTGCTACAGATGTCCAGATGAAAACAGCTTGTGTGAGGCTGCAGAACTTGCCTAAACGCACAGGGAGCAAACAGCAAGGACAGGACAGATGGGGAGGCGCAGTGACTAAGAGCTCTGGCTGCTCTTGTAGGAGATCCAAGTTGGTTTCTAGAATTCCAGCTCTTGGGGAATCAACACCCTCTTCTGGCCTCCACAGGCAGGCAGGCAGGCACACATATGCATGTACACGTACGCATGCACATGCGTACACACACACACTCTCTCTCTCTCTCTCTCTCTCTCTCTCTCTCTCTCTCTCTCTCTCTCTCTCTCTCTCTCTCTCTCTCTCTCTCTCCTCCTCCCTCCCTCTAAAAAGAAAGAGCAAAGCCCAGATGTTTAACATGCGGCTTTAGGAAACTCTCTTAAAGGACTCAGCATCATTTATTTAATCTCTCCCTCTGCTGGACATGTAAATTATTTCTAATGATGAATTATTATAAATAATGCTGTGTGAGCATCCTGATATATATAGCTTTATACATAATTTATATATATTTGCATATATATAATGATGTTATTTGAAAGGTTTATTTCCTGACATGGTATGTTGGCTCGCATCTATAATTTCAGCGTTTGGGAAGCTGAGGCAGGAGGATTGTGAACTTGACCCTGTCTCATAAGGAAAAGAAGGTTACTTAAAAAAACAAATGAGCAGGCATAATAGTAAGTGCCTACTTTCCCAGAACTTGGAAGGAAGAGGTAGGAGGACCGTAAGCTCGAGGCCAGCACAGACTCCAAGGGACCCCACCTTAAAAATGAAGTCAAGGACAAAGGAATTGAAGGGCGATAATGAAAAGAAAAAAAATTAGAAATCAAGTGACCCAGTCGAGAGGGTCAAAAGGTCAGCATTCCACGCCAACCATGGTCTAGCCACCTGGGCACAAGGCAGTGGCTCCCAGGCGTAGCCTCTACCCTCCCTCGCTCAGTAACCGCTTGGAGAGTGGCTGAGCCCCTCGGCCTCTGTGCTGCACAAATGAAGGCTGGCAGAGTCCCTTCCTCCTGCCCGCTCCTCCTGGAGGGGAGGGAGGCTCATTAAAACCAACAGAGCCGAGTGTGTCAGGCCCTGGGTGTGTTGTTTCGTTGACATGAAGGGTCCACATTCATCAGCACACAACGACGCCGTCAATTTACGGCGGCAGAATCAGAGAGCGGGGAGGCACTTGGGGACTGTATCTGCCATTGTCCTTGGGAGAGAGGAGCTGGATAACGAATGTGCGGGCGGACGGCTTTCCTCTCCGCAATGACTCTCTGGACAGGCTGCTTAGGGATAATGGAGGAGAGGGCCCCCTCGGTGCAAGCCCGGTGCTCAGATGCGTGGAGGCCGGGCGCTGAGAGCAGGCCAGGCGTCGCTGGGTCCTGGCAGAGGAGCGTCTTTTATTGATCACAGATGCTTGAGTGGGCCCTGGTTACCTCCGCGGCTGCAGAACCTTCTCCCAGCCCAGCAGCTCCATCTGCCTTCCCCGCGGAGACCCATTAACTCTGCACTCATCAGCGCACCGACCGGAGGCCATGCCTCAAAAATTAACGGAACAAGATGCGGCTTTGTGTTGCTGGCTCCGAATGCGGCCCCAGGACTGGATGGCACAGCTCTAACAACCCCAGGCCTCACTTCCAGGAGCACAGGCCACTGGGGACTCATCTGCTCTCCCCAGCGGGGCTGGTAAACGCCCCTGCCTTGCTGCAGGCCATAGCCAGCATCCATCTCCCAGGCAGCCTTCACTAGGCGGACAGGCACCCCAAGAAGAATTTATCAGAGCCCTGTGAGGCCAGATCCTGCCCTGGGGACAATCCAGAAGCATCCTAAGGGAACTTAACACAGGCTCCTAACCAGGCCTCTGACCGAGCCAGTGAGTCACTCTCAACAAAGGAATTAGACACGCTTCAACTGTGCTGCTGAGAGAGCCCACGTGGCCTAGCATGCGGGGCTCTGCCCTCCCAGCGCTGAAACTCTTGAAAACAAACCATTATTCATGGCAGTTTCCCAAAACACCAGTGCTCATCGGTGGCCTGAAATGCCCTTAAACTTCTGAATCTGCTTTTAAAATGAAAATAGCATCAGGAATATGGATGCCTGGTTATTCTTGAACAATCAGGCTATGTAGCAGCCCCTCAGAGCAAGGCAGCAATCGTGGTCCCATCGTAGACACCTCTACTGAAGCCTCCCACACCAAGGATGCTGACGAGCAGGCAGCATCTACCCCGGCAGCTGAGGCTGTTTCTCTTACACCCTGCCTGCCTACAGGTGAGGAACTGACCCTGAGGCCTTCCAACATCTGCCCAGCACCATAAAGCTAGCGCCCTCCAGCCTGCCAGCCCCCAGTTAGACGCTAGCTTCTATACCGAGTGCAGAGAGCAATGCTGCGGAGCCCCTCCCAGGGGGTCCCTGAGTGAGCCCTTCCCGATAATTAAGCTCTGGCTCTTCTGTGAGAAAGAGAGCCAGGGCTATCATCGCAAACACCCTGCATTTTTTTTTAATTTCTGAGACAGGGTCTCATGTAGCCCAGGCCTTATATTCATTAGGTAGCTTAGGATGGTCTTGATCTTCCAATCCTCCTGCCTCCTCCTCCTAAGGGCCCGGACTACCGGCATGCACCACCATGCTTTGGTAATGTGGTTCTAAGCACTGAACTCAGGGCTTCCTGCATGCCAATGCCAGGCTCTAACAACTGAGGTACATTCTCCGCCACCTGCTTTTATTTTATGAGACATCAAGAGGATCGGCTAGGACGTGGGACCACTCCCACCGTCTTGCAGAGCAAGCACGCGCCTGCGGCTAGCTGCCCGGTTTACAAAGACGGCTAAAGATGGCCAAGGCTAGATAGGGCTGAGCACCACAGAACTGTCCTGGAACGCCTGCCTACGGCGTTTCCCGTCACCTTCCACGGTGGACTAAGCCTGAGTGCTGCCCACATCAGAAAACGCTTGCAGCCCATGGGGCTCAACGCAGCACTCTGCTCCTTTTGGTGGGGTTCGTTGTTCCCAGGTCCGGGAAATTACGGGCACTTGGAAGCCTGGGTCACTTCTGCACAAACTAATCTCCTGCGGGTCACCCTTTCACGTCTGACAGGTCAATGGTAGAACCAGAGGGGACAGACTCTGGAATCTGGAGGTCTCAGGGTCACTGCAATGCTGCCACACCCCAGCTGTGGAGCCGCCACGGATGATGCCTTTTTCACCCCTGAGTTCTGACCTTCTTGTCTGTAAACCGGGTGGGATCTGTGCTTCACCAGGGGACAGGGACAGGGACAGGGTGGGAGGGATCATTACAAGTGAGCAAGCCCAGAGTGTGTCCGACCGTTAAGAGGAGCCCCTGCCTCCGGGAAGGACAGCAGTCAAAGCCTGGGGTGTGGTTCAGCCTAGCACGCCCAAGAGAAATCAAAAACATACAACAGCAGTCTCGGTGATCAAGAAAGCTCATCGATGACGATAGCGATTATGCTGCTCCTACAGAGCACCCCAGAACCCTAAAGAGTCTATTGAAGACTTCCTTTAACATTCCGCCTTAAAAGACTAAGAGCAAGGACTATGTGGTAGCCGCTCTACACCTCACTATGGGCTTCCCCACCTGGTGCTTTGTCTTCCTCTACTGTCCTGCATCTGGAGGTCTCCTTCCTTTCCCCGAAGTGTGAACGGGAGTTCAATTCTCCCCCTCCCTCCAGTTACAAATGCAAAATGTCAACCCACGAGGCTGCAGCCCAGAGAGGGTTCCTACTCAGCAGCGGGGGCCCAGGCAAAGGTAGGAATCTGTCTCCCAACCCTGAGGCAGGCCTATCCTAGCTCTCCCTTCAGGTTTGATAAGGGGAGAGGCCCACGGTCAAGACCCAAAAGAGCAAAGCCATTGAGATGCACTTCGCAGGGTAGGAGGGTAATGGAGATACACCTGCCGAAGGGCTGCACCGGGAGCAAGGCCAGGGTAAAGGATGATCTGTCTTCACTCGTGCCTAGAGATACGATGTAGCAAACGACCTCACTAGGAAACTGTCTGTCTTCACTCGTGCCTAGAGATACGATGTAGCAAACGACCTCATTAGGAGCACGGGAATAAACATCCAGTCTGTTACAGAGCCACACAAAAAGAGACCTGCAGTACTGGCTACATTATAACACCCATAGATGTCACAGGTCACCCTTGAAAGCCTGAAGCCACATGACACAAGGCTCTATCAAAAGCTGCCTCTCAGTGTGTGGGGAAAGGAACCCATACACTACAGGTAAGGCTTTAAACAAATACGTCCAATATGGAAGTCAGTATGAAGCGCTTCATAAAACTAGGTATGAGTCAGCTACACCACTCCGGGGAATGTAGCAAGGGAAGCTAAGTCAGCTTACGACAGATTCTTGCAGACCCACATTTACTGTAGTACAGTTCACAGCAGTAACGCGCAAATCAGCGTTACTGAAGGTGTGGTGCGTGGCGGGGTGTTGCTTGGCCAGACGGGGGATGAAATTATGCCGTCTGCAGCAGAGACCACCTCATCAAGCAAGACTCAGAGAGACAGACATGGAGTGTTTTCCCTCGTAGGAGGAATCTGCAGTTGAAAGACAAAAAGGTAAGGAATCGCAGCACTTGGGAGGCAGAGGCAGGGGAATCTCGGTGAACTCCAGGCCAGCCTGGTCTACAGAGCGAGCTCCAGGACAGCTCTCTGTTACCCAGAGAAACCCTGCCTGGAAGAAAAACAACAACAGAGAACAAGAAGGAAAAGGAAAGTAGAAACGAAACTATTGAGGAGAGTTAGAGGGTCAGTACTGGGGCAAGACGAGCAGCAAACGGAGGTGTGATCAAAGCACACAATGTATAAATATGAAAATGTAATATGTACATATAAAATATATGTACCATGAAGGCTAGAGAAACGGCTCAGTTTAACAGTACTTGAGGCTTTTCCAGAACACCAGAGATCGAGTTCCCAGCACCCACATAGGGCAGAGCTCAGAGCCACCTGTAACTCATAACCCCAGGAAATCTAATGCCCCCTTCTGGCCTCCGTAGGTACTGTACCCACATGCGCATATACACACAAAACACATACGCATACTTAATAATAATAATGTTTTTTAAACACACACTAATAATTATTAGGAGCATTGCAGAAAGAAAACAAACTGGAAGCTCGAGAGATGGCTCAGTGGTTAAGAGCATTGACTGGTCTTCCAGAGGACCTGGGTTCAATTCCCACCACCCCCACAGCAGCTCACAACTGCTCACAAGTCCTATTCCGGGAAATCCCAACACCCTCACTCAGACGTGTGCAGGCAAAATGCCAATGCACATGAAGTAAAAACAATAAATAAATTTAAAAAAATAATAAAGTGCCTGCCTTCCCTGTGGTCCAAACCAAGGGCCGGGTCCAGATCAGAAGCCAGACAGTGCCAGCATCCGCAAGCTATCCTGAGAGCACCCATGTGGGCGTGAGCAGGGCCTTGAGGGATGGGGATGACAGACTGTGAGGCGGGGACATTCCAGAGCGACAGAACTCAAGGCAGGACCGCACGCTGCCTCTGCACAGGATGGGGCCAAAGCTGGTCCACCCAAGGCCAAGGAGAGCTGTCTGCCCCAGAGCGAGTGGGCCAGGCACGAAACACTCAGCAGAGGCGGGCAGGGTCCTCGCAGAGCACTGTACCTGGCTAGGGCCCCCTCCCCAAACCTGCTTCTCCGCCTGGTGCTGTTGCCCCAAAATAGCTGTGCCCTGCCGAGAGAGAAGGGGCTTCTGCTTGGTCTCCGCTGGGCAGATCTCACAGCCACCTCTCCTCTGAAGCTCCAGCCCCAGCCCCCAAAGCTCCTCCCCTCTCCCACCACGGCCTCTTCTTCATCGTGGTCTTCCAGATCAAATGAGCCCTTTCACAGGGGTCACCTGAGACCACCCTGTCATCAGATACTTACATGATGATGCGTAGCAGTAGCAAAATTACAGTTATGAAGTAGCAGGGAAGGTAATTTTATAGTGGGGGGGTCACCACGACATGAGGAACTGTACTAAAGGGTCACACCATTAGGAAGGTTGAGAACCACTGATCCACGGCCGGGAGCCTTGAATCCCAGCACTCGGGAGGCAGGGGCAGGCGGATCTCTGAGTTCGAGGCCAGCCTGGTCTACAGAGTAAGTTCCAGGGCAGCCAAGGCTACACAAAGAAACCCTGTCTCAGAAAAAAAAAAAAAGAGAGAGAGAGAACCACTGATCCAGACGCTACATATGAGGGCAAACCGTGGCATTTGGCTCCATCCCATTCACACGAGGGTCCCCAGTGCCACCAGCGAAGTCGTTTCCCCGCCAATGACTTCATGGCTGAGTAACGCTCCACCGTGTGCACGCAGCACACCGCCTCTCTCCATTCATCTGTTGACAGGCATCTAAGCTGCCTTCACGGCTTGGCAGCCCCGGATCCTAATGTGTGTCCACTTTCAAGCTCTCCAGGGCGGAGTGGCCACAGTGACCACCCTGTCCACCTGACGCTGCCAGGTCCCGGTTGGATCTCCGGGGGCAGGCGCTGGCTTCTATCCAGCTCTGGCTTGCACAGAAGAACACAGGGCTGTGACTGCGGCCATGCCTCCCATGTTCCAGGCAGTGGCCACAGCATCAGAGGTCTTTGCTCACTCACTCAGACCTGGGAGCTCCTAGCTGGGCCTCGTCTCTGCCTCAGTCAGCCCTGTTCTGTCGGCGGTGCCTGGACACGGGGCAGGCTCACAGCCTCAGGGCGACACCGGTACATCTAGTCACACTACCCGACACTGCTGGGCCACTGGGCTGGAAGGCAGGTCTGAGTCTTCTCACTAGCCATCCACGGCCTGGGGCTCTTCTGACCGCGGCACCTATAGCTAGAGAGGTGACTACGCACAAGTCCCCTCGACACATCAAGGCCCTGCCCAAGCCCACCAGCAACTTTGGTCACACCTGTGTCCCATCTGCAGGCACACTGCCTCGGAGAGGGGCCTCGGTGGTCACCGTAAGCCAACGGCCAGACGCTTCTAACCTGAGTTAGACGCACTTCCCAGGCTGAGAACAGCTCCCTCAGTCAGAGGGGTCAGCTGTGTTTTCTCTGCCTGCTCTTTCTGCTCCTGAGTGGCCAGCGGCCAGCGGCGGTTTCCCAAGACTGTGACAGCGTAAGGAGAGCACCCCATGTCAGCCACTCACCTCGTCTGTGTACTGGACATCGTCCACGGCGTACTTCTCCTTGAAATGCTCCTTGGAATGGATCCTCAAAAGGAAGCACAGCGAAAAATCACGGTCAAGGGCTCGGCAACGCCTCAGCCTGGTCACCTCCGCCCGCCAAATCCAGGCCACGCAGCCCCGGGGTCTGCCCCTCACGGTGTGAGGGGTCTAGCGCTAAGCAGGTATACCCGGCACTTGATGAAGGGCGCGGGGACACTGAACCTTCGCCTCTGCCGCCTCCGGAACCACCCGACGCGGCTCGCTGTGCCCCTAGCGGCCTGCAGCAAGCAAGCTGCTTCCTCTGTCTCCCTTCCGTGCCACTAACCCACCGGGCAGCCAGCCAGGGCGCCTCTCCCTCAGGGGCAGGGACAAGTGGCCTCCCAGGCCGTGCCTCTCTAAAGGAAGGTTAATAAACCAACACTTCGAAGAAGTCAATATCAGTATTTCCCAACGTGGTGACAAGAGTTTAAGCTTAGTCATCACACTTGGAAAAATTAGCCAGGGAGAAAGCGCGGAGTAGATGAGGTGAGACAACCCTCGCTCTCTCTCCTGAATCCAGCAGGCTGCCGCCCTCCCCGCCCGCTCCCAGATTCTCTGTTAGTAGACGAGTCAACGCTGATAGGGGCAATGGGCTCACATAGAGAGGAAAACTAACAACATGGGAGGGCGTGTCACCAGCCGAGCACCAAGCCCAGCGATGTATATATGCCTCCCTGCACCCCTGGCTGCCGCGTAAGGGCAAATACCCACCCTTCCCGTCCCATCGTGTGATGTATATATGCCTCCCTGCACCCCTGGCTGCCGCGTAAGGGCAAATACCCACCCTTCCCGTCCTATCGTGGTTTCCCAGTGGGTGTCCTATCCAACAGAGGCCTCAGTAACCTACAGAAGGCAGCCTCACATTCTGTTTCCAGAGCCATGACGGTGTGTAGATTGGAGGCTGGGGTGGGAGGGGGGAGGAGTTCCTGGGAGTTCCAAATAAAAACAGGGAGGAGACTCTCAGGGAGTCAACTAGTAATCTCGCTCCACCCAAACAAGCAGCACTGGCTGTCAGAGGTGCAGATACAGGACCAGGGGACAGCGGAGGCCAGTGGAAGCCACAGCAAGGGGCTCACGGTCCATGTAGAAAACCCCAGGCTGAGGAACCCCGAACTCCCCGGGTCTCACAGAATGCCCTCTGCCCCCCCACCCCCGTGGAAGAACTCACTGGCTGTCAAGCTGTTGCCATTAATTACGTCTGCACGTCAATTTAGTCACGTTAGCTCCGGCTACGAGGCAGGACCCACAAGTTAACTGACCAGGATCTGACACCTCCATTAGCGAGGGGCCCCAAGCTGAGGTAGGACGCGCCACTCCACCTGGGTCCCAGGGGTCCCAGCTGCAGGCTTGGAAAGCGAGAGGCAGGGCCACAGCAGAGCAGCTGCTAAGCATCTCCACCCCTCTCCAGCTGTGCCAGCGCAGCCCAGCCCTACCTCCAGCCCCCGTGACTCCGTCATCACCAGTAGGGACGGGCATAAAGAGCCAACCCCCTACAGACCGAGGAACACAAGGATCTGACCCAGCCTCCAGGGCTCTGTCATATTGGGTCCTGACATCTTCATGTCACTGCCACAGGGCACCTGAAGCCTCCCTCCAAAAAATGTCCCAGGAAACTTCTCCCTGCCCTTCCCTCCTGGGGAGTCTTACAAGTTGGGATTCAGCAGAGACACGCCACACCAGGGAAGCCTCTAGAGGTGGTAAGCCCCAGGCCAAAGAGGTGACGGCCAAGAGGAGATGATCGTAGTGGGCTGTGATTGGGGGTGTCCCCACTGCTGGATACTCACACGGTGGTTATACAAGTTCCCTCTGCATGGCTGTGATGAAATGCCTTGCAGGACAGCCTAAGCCGGGAATTATTTATTTGGGTCGCGTGGCTCCACTGACTCCGAGTTAACAGGGAGGCAGGCGGAGCGCTACGGGGAGGGCATGTACAAAGGCTGCTGCCTTCACAGTGGGTGGAAGCTGGCAGAACAGACAGGGGCGACCCTCTTCCGCCAGGGACACATCCCCAGTGACCCATTCCCTCCAAAGTCTTCCTAAACTTTCTAAGACTTTTCAAAACCGGCACCACCGGGTAGGAACCAAGCATCCAATACATGAGGCCTTCTGGGGGCGGGGGGGGCGGGGGGGGAGGGAACAATCTACATTCAAACCACAGCCGAGGCCACAAGTCATTCTGCTGTCGGTGGCGAGGGGGAGCAAAGGGTGGCTGGCCCCCAGCAGAAGAGGTGGCCCCGCCCGCCCAGCACTCGCTCTCCTTACAGAGGCAGGCGCCACAGCCTAGGCTGAGTGCAAACCGGGTCCTGAGAGCCAAAAAACGCCTCCCGTGCATTAAGGCTCACCAGGAATAACCGCCAAAATAAAATATGAAGTGCCGAGAGCCTTTTGTCTGGAACTCTGTACGCTGCATTCTTCTTAGAAAGGGCAGGGATAATTAAGTTTGAACAGTTCTTGCTTTTTTTTTTTCACATTTGTGGGTTAATTACAGTAAAAAAAAAATCATTTAAATGTTACCCGAAGGGATATGCGTGCCAGGCTGCCGTGACCAAGCCGGCCCCGGAACGCACCTGGCGGCCAGGGCTCGGTGGGGTCCTGGGAAAAGGAGTGACAATGGCTGGGAAAGTACACAGAGGGCTGAGCTGGCCAGGGGCGGGGCCTACGAGGCCTCAGAGGGTCTACACCCGGTCCCAGCCAGCACGTGGGGAGGAGCCAGCGCAGCTCGTGCCTGGGTGGGAGATCCCAGTGGGAAGAACCAGACTGGAGGGACAAGTCAGGAGAGGAGCTGAGCTCACTCAGACACTCCTCGTTTGAGTGCAGTTCTGGCCGCAGAGAGAAGTTCCCTCACTTGACAGGAGACCCGTCGTGTGGGGAGGATCTGGGCTCTGGGCCCCAAGCACAAGCCCAGAGTCGAAGCAGGCGATGCTTGGCCGCAGTGCCATGAGCCCCAACGCCCTGCGGGAGTCCACAGGTGAGATGGAGCCACTACACGAATGCCACGCGATGAGACATGATGGAACCTTCCAGAAAACGAAATTGTAAAGAGCGGGGCTTACTGGCTAGCTGGCCACCTGCACGCAGTTACTGATAAGGCCAAATGACAGCGGCCGCCGTCAGTTTCCGGCGCCTGGCGACTGGCACCCGCCTTCAGCTCCAAACAAGTGCTGCTGCCTCTTATTCTGCTGGTGGCGCAAGGTGCGTGTGAAGCAAACGTCAGCAGCCATGTCAAGCTGTCATTGAGTTGTCAGAGAGGGAAGTAGCCCTCTGCAAACCAGAGCAGGTGTCTGAGCCTGGAGACGGCTCCCAGGCCTGAGCTGGAGCAGCCACACGGAGAAGCCAGGCCGAGGGCCGCGCGGTAAGGAGACTTGATGGAGACAGGCCCGCCCATGAGGAGGGGAGCCGTGGAAGCTAGGGACTCTCTCTGGCTGGTCCCTAGGTGCCGGGGTCAGCTGCAGGCACACAGGAGCAGCCAAGAACCCAGGGGCCCTTCTCAAGGACGGCTTCTGTCACAGAGCCCACCCCTCCGTCCCCATAACAGCAGGAGGCAGAGTGCAGCCCAAGAGGCTGGGGAAGCTGTGATCCCTGTGACTCAAAGTGTGTGAGTGGGGGCCAGCGCCATAAAAACAGACCCCTCCCACTCACCACATCTCAGGACACATACAGCCCACACAGGCAAGTGCAGTGTGACGGCACACGCCTGCGATTCGGAACGCTGAGACACGGAGGATTCAAGGTCAGCCTGAGCTACACAGCAAGACCCGGTCTCAAACAACAAAAGTCACCCCATAGGCATCCCACTGCAAATCACACACACACACACACCCCATAGGCATCCCACTACAAATCACACACACACACACACACACACACAGTCAGCCCATAGGCATCCCACTGCAAATCACACACACACACACACACACACACACTCACCCCATAGGCATCCCACTACAAATCACACACACACACACACACTCAAACACACATACACACAGTCAGCCCATAGGCATCCCACTACAAATCACACACACACACACAGTCACACACACACAGACACACACACACACAGACAGCCCATAGGCATTCCACTACAAATCACACATACACACACAGTCACACACACACACACACAGACAGCCCCATAGGCATCCCATTAAAAATTCACATCTCTCTCTCTCACTCACACTCACACACACACAGGTCCTACTACCAAAAGGAGCTGTGCACAGGGCCTCAGGCAGCCCTGGAGAGCTCACAGAGCAGCCTCTTCCTGGGCAGCCTGAGGCCCAGACAGGCACTGGAGAGGCCGATCACCAGCCCCCTGCAAACCTAGGCCAGGCACTGTCTCTCCTTCAGTCTGGTCAGGGACAGGCACGACTGTAGAGGATCCCCCAGCCCTACCCCTGGGCCCTGAAGCTACCTGGTGTGAGGTGTCACAGAGGGAATTTTCAGTTTGCTTAGAGGAGCCCAGACACCCCAGGCCAAAGTTACTGCCAGCTAGTCCTCTTTTGGACAGACTCCTACACAAACACATCAAGGGCTCCCACCCTCCTGCTTCAGGCCCCGCCCCCAGCATCTGCAACCCCAGCAGCAAGGCTGCCCCCATGGAAGCTGCAGATCCTACAGCAGAACGCGGGTGCCCTGAGTAACTCTGGATTGTAGTATCAGCTGGACGGGTTTGTAAAAGCCACCAGATAGAGACTCCAAAGGAAGCTGAGGAGCTTAAGGTCAAACGTTCAGTCTGGTGGGTTTTGATTGCCAAGGCCAGGTAATCCCGGCAGCCCTGCTCCCTGTGCCCTATCGATTACGGGAATGTCTGGGAGCAGCCGGGCACATCGGATCTGGCAGCTTCCCAGCTCAAGCCCAGACAAGCAGCCCCTCTGTCACCTGCTCATGACAACCAGGCCTTCCCTCCCAAGCGCTCAGGACAGGGAGACAGAGACAGAGAGACAGGGGGACAGGGAGACAGGGGGACAGGAAGACAGGGAGACAGGGAGACAGGGAGACAGAGAGACAGAGGGACAGAGGGACAGGGGGACAGGGAGACAGGGAGACAGAGAGACAGAGGGACAGGGGGACAGGGGGACAGGGGGACAAGGAGACAGGGAGACAGGGAGACAGACAGACAGACAGAGAGACAGGGAGACAGGGAGACAGAGAGACAGGGAGACAGAGAGACAGGGAGACAGAGAGACAGGGAGACAGGGAGACAGAGAGACAGAGACAAGGAGACACAGAGCCACCCCAGAGCACAGAAAGGAGAGGGAGCCAGGCTACAGGAAAAAGAAATGCGTCACGCTCCCTTGGGACCACAGCTCCCGGGGCTCGTCCCCGCACAGCACACAGGCCTCGTTCACCAGGGGAGCCAGCCCTGCGGGCGCACTCCTGCTCCACACGAGACAATGAGTCCCCTCAGCGAAGCACGACAGGCTGAAGGAGTGTTTTCAACGTCCCTGAGACTCAGCTGCGGCCAAGGCGCAGACTATCATTCCTGTGTTCTTGAAGACGGTGTGCCCGGACAGCAGACTGCTGACAGATGACACGGGACCAATCAGATCCTGGGCTTTAAATCCCTTCAGTGAAGGGCTGTTTAGTTCCCAAGGTGCGAGTGTAAGAGACACGGGGAGTTCACACAGGCTCAGCAGCTGGGGCAGAGTCCCTTAGGCAAGGTCAGTCCTCCACTGAACCTACTGTGGAAGACGCTGCCTCCAATTCACAGACAGCATCCTTCATTTCCTGCTAGAGCCAGTTCCTCGTCAGAAGGAAATTGTCTCGTAGAGTGCTTGCCTAGTATGTGCAAGGCCCCAGAATCAATCCCCAACAACACACACACACACGCACGCACACTCACACACGCACGCACATACACCACACACATGCATGTATGCACACACATGCACGCACACGCACGCACACTCGCACGCATACACACTCGCACGCACATACACCACACACACGCGCATGTACGCACACGCATGCACACACATACCACACACACACATGCACACATGCACGCACTTGCATGCACACATGCACCCACATAATTCTTTTGGCATTCTTTTTCCCAGCACGCGGGAGGAGGCAGGTGGATCTGAGTCTGAGGCCAGCCTAGGCTACACGGTGACATTCTGTCCAAGGAAAGAAGAGGGTGGGAGGAAGAGCACCCTCAGTGCCCTTCCGCCCCTCGGACAGAAGCTGTGGGTGGGGCTAACTGAGGACCAGCAGACCCTCCTGGGCCCCCACGGTCCATCTCCATAGCTCACACATGACAGTGTTCGCCAACCTCCGAGCAGGCTCTCTAAGCTCAACGGGGCATCCCAGCAAGCTCGCCTGAGCCAGGAAGTGCTTTTAACACCCAAGGGGATGCTGAAAGGTCAGCCACAGCTCTGCTCAGGAGGACAGCGTGGCGTGCAGGCAGGATTCTGCGAGCATCATAAGATGAGACCTAACACTCTCAAGGCTGGTCAGTTATAGATGTCACGGTTTGGGTGAGACATGTCATGTTGAAGGCTTGCTCCCTGTGACGCAACGCTCAGGAGGGGCTTATGATGGTATTAACCTCCTCAGTGGAGATGACCGATGATAGCTCAATGGGCTTTTAGGAGGTGGAGTCTAATTGGAGTAAATAAGGCTCTGGGAGGCATAGCCTTAAAACCATATTTTGGAACCCTAGGCTGCCTGCCTGCCTGTCTTCCCCTACCCCTTGCTCTCTAAGTACCGTGAGGGTAGCCGTGTGACAAGCTGCCACTACTGTAGTATTTTGCATTATGTCAGACACACAGCGATGGAGCCTGCAGACCACACATGGAACAAAATCTCTGTAACCGGGAGCCAAAATTAACTTTCCCTCTTTTTAATTTGTTTCTGTCGGGTACTCTTGTCACAGCAGCGAAAACCTGACTTCTGCACTACTGCTGAGTAACACCCAATCCTAACCCTGAGTGGAACAAAACCCAGAAAACCATTTGTCCTTCCTAGGGTTTGAATCTGAACCGTCCCCCGTAGGAACACCTGGTCCCCGGCTGGGTGCTGTCCTGGAAGACAGCAGAACTTGTATCAGCTGGGCCACTGGGGGCAAGCTTTGAGAGTTGCAGCCTGGCCCCATGTATGGTCCTGTTCCCTGCTTCCATGGCTGCTATGATGTGATCTCACACTCCTGCAACAAGCCCGGCGTCACCCCCCCCCCATGAGCTGTGCCTTCAGAAACACTAAACCAGGGCACATCTTTCCCCACCTACTGCTCTGCCAGGTAGTTTTCCGGAATGAGAAAGGTCTCTAGCGTGTGGACTCTCAAGGTCCGGGAAGTGAGACGCTTGGACAATGGCTGACCTCTGCTCCGTGACAGCCGTGACCTCAGCGGGGGTTTGACTCATCGGAAGGCTCATCCACGCTCACGGCTGGTGCTGCACCAGCTGGAGGCTCACCACACGGGGTGACTCCGGGCTTCCTCACCGCAGGGCGGCTGTGTTCTGGAGGAAACCGCCCCAGTGGAGAGAACCAGCCCTAGTGCTTGTTTCATGGTCTAGCCTCGAAGTCAAACAGCCAGCATCCTGCATCCCGGGCCGGACCGGGGTCAAGCAGGAGAAACAGATTCCATTTTTCTGGCCAGGGAGGTTACAAGCCCAATG